CCATATCACATTCACATAGTGGGTCTTCTACAAGTGCTAAGCAAGACTATTCAGTTAGGAGGTGAAAAGAGCTAACATAATTTGTCAACTGCACTTCCAGAGGCTGCATCAAACTCCAAGTGTTTATTGTCACACTTCTCTGCCACACAAATAGGCAAATCAATTCTGAAAAACCAGGCATTCTGGCTGCTTTTATTATGCTATACTGTGGTTCTACAGATGTTGGGGCAAAAATAGAAGGACTTTTTCCATTTACGTTTAACTCTTAGAGCTGGGTTAGTCAAACTGCAAAAAAACAAAACAATTAGAGCTCTAAATTAGAGATCTTATATAGAGTTATAGAGATAGAACAGAGATCAAAGTGTTACTTATTATTTAAAAAAAAAACATTTGTATGATTTACATACTGTATATCAGTCAGACCAAACACCAGAGCCAAAAAGAAAAAGAATCCTATCTAGAGGTTCGACTAAGGAGCTGTGTTAGTGTGCAAGCTGCAAAGCAGGGAAGAAAGGTTAATTCCATGCTCAGCAATAAAAAGAAAGAAGAAAAAAGTAGCGTTTCAACAAAGGAGCACATTTTCATCTTTCTTTTTACTTTTCAGAGTAAAATTAATCTTCACTTAATCCTCTATCAATATTACCTTAATTATAGAGAAGGACAAAGCTCTAATTTGTCATTCAACCCACGTGGATATACTGTTCCAAAGTGATAAATCAAATAAGCCTCACTTTTTAGAAGTAAAAGATCAATGTCATCACATCTATGGGAAATTTAATACCAATACTTTTTAGCATGGAAACATACTGTTTGCACTCATTAAAATGTCTTCCTACAGGTGATTAAGGGTCTTCTATACAAATGACTCACCTGTCCTCATTTTCAGTGGTCTTTTAGTTATATCTACACACTCAAAACAACAAGGGCATTTTAGGAGACATATCACCTGAAACATAGCATAAGTATTTATCTTGTTGTCTGAGAGATCTCCCATGTGAACATGTTCATTAGTACCCATTTGTAATAAGTACTTAATTTATCTGTTATTGCATAAATAACGTACAGTACAGTAGGTGCTGCAGATCACTTCAAGTACTAAGAAATTACATGACATCCTAATACTTTATATAAACCTTTCTACTGGACTTTAGAACCCAATGCAAATATATATATATATGTGTGTATGATGAAATGATGCCAGTAGATTCTTTACAAACTAAGGCATACAGGACTGAAATGTACTGTAATAACACAGAAATATAAAGAATCTTTCTTCATATTTTTACAGTGGAGCAATATTACACAACAAGGTTCAAAATCATAAAGAATTGGACAGGAAAATATCAGACACTGCAGTTATTTAGAACTTGTTCAAGCTAGCTTGATACTACTAAAATTTCTATTTATGGTCTACTGACAACAAATAGGTAATACTAATACTTCTCTTCAAACCCTTTAATTAATTTATTTACACTAAGTTTCTATTTGTATCACAGATGTTTTTTGTGGAAAGTGGCATCTCATCATTTCATTCAGTTCTTAATGACACAGAAATACATCTTCATACAAAACAATGTAACTATTTACAACCCACAGAAAGGGACTTTCTCAATGCAATTTTCTTTTATGGTTAGCTTTGAGAGAACCACTCTCAGAATTGTAAAAGTTCAGATCAGAAGGATCTGAATTATTTTTTACCTTGGTATTTGTCAGTTATTTCATGTCACAGATCTTACATTGTTATTTGCTGTATACAGTGATTACAGTGATAACACCATACACTGCTACTATTGCTACTTGTTTTATAAACCAAACTATTATCTAGTAACAGGAAAACTCTACTCTTAGTGCATCAAGGAAGTTAACATACATTAACGCTTAGTTTTTGGTATGTTTAAATTTCTCTTAAGACTTTTGGGTGAGGCCAGATAAATATTTGCATGGTATCCATGGAAAAGCTGGGACAAACCCCTTTCCTCAAGTCATACTATGAATAAAGTTCAGGGAAGTTATTTATATTAGTCACACATAGAGGCAATTAAGAGTAGGAAGTGGGATTTTCTTGCAAGAAAATATTTGTATCACCAATTTAGGAAATTTAGAAATGAAAGATTTCTCATTGATCTTAAATACCTTACCAGTGTTATACTCATGCTACACTCTTCATACTGTATGTGTATGGCATGTTGAACGTTTAAATCCAGCTGCAATGTACAAATACTGAAATGTGTTATTAGGCTCCAAGAACATTAATCTAACAGGAAACAATCATTTTTTTAACATAATGTTTACAGCAGAGTCCTGGGTGTCAAACTACTATTCATAAAAGGGACCGACAGAAAAATGCTGATGATAAACACATCTTATTGGACAGCTTCTGAGGTCAAGTCTAAACTAGATACAGTCGCAACCATGATTAAAATATAGATGTCAGAATTTTATTCTGAAAAAGATCCTTGTCTGCAAAATGCTAAGATAAGCAACATGAGAAATGTCACAGATAGTTTATTTCACTACTGTTACAAACCTCACGGTTCCGAAACTAACTACATAATTCTATATGTAATAGGTGACAATACTGTATAGATTTTGAAAATAACTGTGCTTTTGTATCGTAAGTACAGGAGCTTATGTTTTTTCAAGAACAATAAGACAAGTTAGCAAAATAATTATTTCAGTGAGAATATAATCTTTGTTATATTCTTTTTGCCTGCTCCTTTCTATTCATTTCAGATATATTTAGATTTTTTATATATATGCATATTAGATATTGTTATGTCCCAGTGTGTGGTCTGTGTGTATTTTTTTTTATGTTCCACACTGCTGCCCTTGATTGTTTTCCCTCCCCTGTTAGCCCATCATTACACCACAGTTCCGTATGACATCATGATCAATTAGTTTCTCAGCCAATCAGTGCATCTTATTCAGCATATGGAGGTTCCGTTTGGTTTTGCTTTGCTTCATTTCGCTTTGGTTATCGCTTCGTTTCGCTTTTGCTTCGGCTTTGTTGGTTTGTTTTGTTCTCTGTGTGTGTATTTTCGTATAGCTTCGGCTTTGTTGTTTTGTTGGTTTCTGTTTGTTTCTTTGTACTTTCGTTTGTGTTTATCCTTGTTTTGCCATAACCTTGCCCTACCGTGTTATATGTTCAACTTTTGTGTTCCTTTGTACCCTGTTCCTGTTGATTACTCTTGTTTTTCCTTATTTGTATTCCTAGTTCACTTGTGTTTTTGTGTGAACTTTTGTGTATAAGGTTAGTTTAGGTTGTTGGGTAAATTCTACACACTTAGTTGATTTTGTATTAGTAACACTAGTTTAGTACGGGTGAGTGCCGTTTGTATTGTATGGTTTTGGGTAGTCAGTGGAGGTTAGCTAGAATGTTGAAGACGCCGAAGACCGTGTGTTTCAGGTTATCTTTTGTAGTCAGGTTAGCTTTCCCTCACTTTCCTAGCCAGCTCCATTTTGTTTTTTATTTTCTTTTCTTTGGCACCACTTTAGTTAGTTCCTTACCCCTGTGTGCTATCAAGTCTTACCAGTCACTTATTCAACTAAAATAATCACTTTTGCACCCACCTTTGTAATCATGCTTCCTAGTCCCTCACCTCACTAGTCCCTCTTTGCTTCCAAAAGAATGAGCCTAAATGTTACACCCCTTTACCCCTAGACACTTGGGGTCGTAACAGATATATTTACAACACACATTTATGTTTCCATTAGAGGTGGCACGGTAGCACAGTGATCAACATTGTTACATCACAGCACTGGGTTTCTGGGTTCAATTACTGTGATGCTATTTGCATGGTGTTTACATGTGCTCTACTTGTTTATGTGGGTTTCTTCCAGAAGCTCCAGTGTTCTCCCAGTCCAAAGACACTGTGGTAGGTTGATTGGCTTTGAGAAAATTGGCCCTGGTATGAGTGTGTGTGTGTGTTTGTGATTGACTTGCAATTGACTGGCATCCTGTACGGATATTTCCAGTAAAAATGTTGGACACGATAATCTTGCATGTAATGTTAATTATATGTTTCGGCATGACTGTATACTACCTATTTTTGATAAATAACATACTGTATGTACACATGTAGCTTATTGCTAGATTATGACAAGCAAATTCTAACAATTGTATGCATTTCCACTTTATGAAGCTTTGTTCTTGGCTTTTTATACACAAAATAATTCCAATCACTTACAGAAAAGCTCTGAAGTATGAGTCCACTGAATTTTGACTAACAGAGTTCTGGTTAAAAGATTTTCTTGTGGCAACTAATGCTCTGATGGACTCAGACGTTGTAGTGGCAAATGTGTACAGTAAAAACTACTGTATATGACACTATACTTATCTATAATTAACTTATTATCTTAGAAACATTTGCTTTTCATCACAGATAAATTATGACTATCAATATTATTATTTGGATAATTTTAAAAGAATCTGATTAAACCCAGAGTATCTGCTGAGTACTTTTATGAACTGACACCCAATATACCTAGATGTGGAATAGGAGTGGAAAGCACATTAATAACATGATACTGTACTTTGTTAGACCTCAATCAGAAAATAACAAACCAACATACCAATGAAGGAAACAAGATTGTGCCCCTTGTGTACATATTAAACAATTTCATATGTGTTTTGGGGAGTGTCCAGAATAGGTAATATTTTGAAAAACAAATTGCAGCTTGTGGTTAAAGTTTGGACATAGGTTTCCACTTTTCTAATTAGGGATATTCCTTGGTCTCACTACGTACTCTTGCTAAATGATAATTGGCTTCTCAAAGCAGCAGAAAGGGATATGGTTGGCTGATCTCACTATAGCTAATAGTATGGTATGTTGGTGCAGCATTGATATCCCCTGCATTCCTTTTCCTGGCATCACTGCACCCTGTCCTGTCTCGGTATTATTTATTTATAGTTCTCCACGAAATATTTGCTGACAGCCTTAGTAGATTTAAAGGTTAACAAGTCTCTAAGCAATTATAAAAATAAGTAACAGCTTAATTACCTGTTACATTAGAGAACAAACTGAAGTATGTGGGGCACTGCACTGTGACCACTTCTCCAATGCTTGCTGAGGGCCAGCAGGTAATGTTATCCCACAATGTTCGGCAGCCTAAAAAAAAAGCAAGCAAAATATGAGAGACATCTCAGCTGAAGCCTAGGTAATTCTTAAAATGGAGGCAGGTAGTCATACTGGCATAATGACACACAGTTAAATAAATTTAATGAGACACAAAAAACACCTTCAACATTTAACTTCTCATGACATGGAAAATAAATTCTTAATGCACTAAAAATATAATTCACAGTCACTGCATTTCCAGTAAATGACTTCAGTTTCCTATTAACTATGTCATCCATTTGCCAGTAGTACTGTGAGTTGGATCCAAGTTACTTACCACAAGATAAACATTTTAACATTCATCATATATTTTATTCCTCTCTAAATGTTTTTATATATTTGTATACATTTTATTTTCAAGTATTTGTACTACTGCATTGATTTTAAAAGTCAAGTTCTGTTAGCTTCACAAAAGCCCTACTGTGTGCATATTTTACACTGATGTAGATTGAATAATGATGAAATTAGCACGTGACCCCATTCCAGCCCTTCTAAAAAAATGTAAAATAATTCACGTGACAATCAGCTTTGTGAAGAGGATTCAGATTAAAAATCAGTTTTTAATTCCTTTAATTCAAGATGTAATATATCAGTTTGTTTTATCATATAACACAAGCTATATTGCTTACTTTAAATATTACAAATATGACAGCATATTTAAAACAACACAATTGACATATATTATTAATGATATACTGTATATTTCAAACTCCCAAAGAGTTTGTTTTCCAAAATGTTTTCTTTAATATTACTTTTTACGTTATCTGCTGTATTTATTACTTTAGTTATTAGAGTAAATAATTTAAGCTTTGTCTGAAGCATGTGATGACATAAGAAGCTTACACAGTACATACAATTGTTTCAGTTTTAGTACAGAGTAAAGAAAAATAACAACTGCAGGGTAAACAGTTAATTTCCAGTTCTACAGCTAAGGATACAATTGAACTACAGTATTTTACTGTTTGTGATGGGGACAAAAGATTAAGACAAAATTGGGATATTCTGGTTTTACTGGGAGGTCTGGTATTTATTGATGAATCTCTGGAGAGACCAAGATTGTATATATTCATACTAAAACAGCAACATTTGTAGTATTTATATGTTGTATTTTCTTGTTTTCAAATCTGACTAGTAGTCATGAGATTTCAATTTTTAAGATTTAATTCAGAATGTTCACAATAAAGTTCTAAGTACGGTTATTTTACTAATTGTATTTGCTGCTGGAAATTATTATCATTGTGAATGTCATGTCATGTAGAATAACTGCAGGCTTTGTAAACAACAAAATTACAATGGAATTTGTATACTGTAGCAGTAGTCATGATTGATATCTTATTAACTAATATTTTTTACTATAAATTTTAACACAATATCAAGTCCATAGGACATGTGGTTGAAATAAATAATGTAAATCATGTAACCAGGGAATTATATTTTTTATTTTTTTGTTCTAAAACTGGATTCTTATATCCTGAATATAAAATTTTATAATGCGAGTGATAATTTTAAAACTTGGTAAAACAAAAATGAACATCAATATTCTTTATTCTTAAAAATGGTGCTAAAAGGGCACAGTGTCATCATGTTTCAGATTTTCATTATCTTTTTCTTTTGAAAGAGTTTGCAAATCAAAATAGGATAATATAATTCTGGAACCAGAAACTTTCACTATGCTTTTTACATCATTTTAAAAATAAATAAACTATGGCAGACAATTCTGTTTTTGTTTGTTAATATTACATAATATATCTACATTCTACTTTTGTTTTAGGTAATTTGGCAGCAAAGTTATTCCTGTTCCTTTTAAAAAAAAATATATAGTCTTACACCTGGGATAGCATGTATATAAGAATGGGATATTGTAATCTTAGGATACCACTGTCACCATATTCAATTAGGTTAGGTTTTCTACAACTGCCCTTTAATGTATTAAACATAAAGTAAATCCCAGAGGGTGGTGTAGTACATTTCACATTAAATTGCAATAATTTTTAACTGCCTTAGTAAGGATGGGAAAATACACTTTAGTATTAAAATATTCCAGAAAGCCCTGCAGCTCAAAAAATGATACATAAAGTAAAGCACAAATTCAATAAAATCGCAGCACGAGTACAGTTCCTGTGGAGCTTGCATGATATGTTATATTCATTTAAAACACTTTTTTGACAGGCATTACGAAAGTTATGTTTAAGACATAATGCAGTTTTCCACATGTTACTTTTTTCTCTTTCTTGACACCAAATCCTTATATGCAATATTCTTGTAATTTACCATTTCTATTACATGACAATTACCAAATAACAAACAAAACAGATACCAGCTATCAAAAGTCTGACACCAAGAGATTGTTTTCTTATTTTTTAACTTTTAGCTTTAACAACTTTTAAGAGGTGTCTCTGCATGGATCTACAGTACAGTATGCTCAGACATATGTTATGTTGAAATAACAACATTGTAGAGTTTAGATGCTCAATTAAAGTTATCTCTTAATAGAGTGGACAAGTAATTTTATTGTTCCAGGCTGAGATAGATGGCAATGGAGGTCTCTAAGAATTTAGACACAATGGGTAATACCTAACTAGTTCAGGTGGGTGGCTGCGTCAGCATGCGTAGGCTGCAAAGGAACAAGTAATAGGTTTATTCCATGCTGAAAAAAAGAACTAGTGTCATACCTAACTAGTGTCAATATTTCCACTTACTAGAGCTTCAAAGCCAAGGGTGGGTTTGGTGAGATTTACAGGGTCCAGATACTGTGATCAAAACATTCAAAATTGGTTTACTTTAGTTATTTTAGTTGTGGCTATATGATTAAGTGTCAACCAACAGTCCAGAAACACAGGATATAAAATCAGATCAGGGATTTTTAGAATAGGGAGATACAGTATGCTCTCATTTATTTTGTGGCATTTGGGTTTGCACAGAGAGAGAGAGAGAGAGAGAGAAACATTCTTCCCGAAATTCAGAAATCTAATCCCAGAGTTCCCACACCTGCCAAAACCACAACAGGTCCCAATCCTACTGGGAGAGGGAGGAGGGAACTCAGTTGATCTGGCAGCCCAGTATGTGATCTCCTGTCACAGCCTGAGGAACAGTGAGTCTGTCTCCCAATAATGCTCCAGCCGCCTACAGTTTATGTCGATATTATATAATATGTCTTTGTTGTAAATGTCTGTAACATGTCTGTAGATTTTATTTTACTTCTACTTTTTGTTTTGTTCTATGTTAATTTTATTATTTTTATTTGCTTTGGCAACACTGATTGTACCCATCGGTCATTCTAATAAAGCACCTTGAATTGAATTGAATTGAATTGAGAGAGAGAGAGAGATAACTACAGGTTGTATTGTATTTAGTTTAGAAGGCAGCTTATCTCTTATTTTGGAATTCCTGTTCCTCTAACTATACCAACCTCTCAGGGATATTCTGACAGAAATCACTTACAAATTGGATACAAGCATGAACATTTATTTTACACATTGACTAAACCGGCCGGTCAATTTCAAAATTGGAAATCACTGAAAATCAAAAGACCAGTAAAATTGCAAAAGACAATTAATGTAAAAACTATAAAGGGCTACACTTAAATTACTAATATGCTTCTAAAATTTTTCCTTGAAATCTATGGGATTTGTGAATAATGATTCCTTCATGTGTTTTTAAATAATGACTAATTAATGACATACATGTGTTTATTATATGTTGAAAGTGTTATTGAAATATTTTACTTGATTATTATTGACAGCTGTATCAATCACTCAACCTCGGGGATTGATTATTATAGTACTGGAATCCATGACTCAACAAAATCACACAGTGACTTGAGTTCTTAACCTCAATTACTTCTGTTCTCTCTGCTATTCTCTGTGTGGATTTTCCCTTAGCTGTTAGCACATCAGTCCACTGACAATCTTTTTCAAGGATCATCAACATTTTTGTACCTTATCTTGTGCCTAACATGCATAGCCTTACATATCCGTTTTTGTCTCAAAGCGAGTTCTTCTTGGTTTAATAGTGATGTATAGTTATTTCATTTTCCAGGTGTCACGATCGCTAACCCCTCCTCTTAAGGGCGCTCCAGCCCTTCCTTGTTCCCTCCCATTGTCTGTACATGTTACTTATTCCCGCTCCCCCTTAAAAGCCAGACGCGGACCTCACTCCTGGTTCCTCATTGATTTCCGCATCATGAGAGCCCGGGGTTCTGCCGCGTCTGGCTCCGTTATGGTTTTAATCTTCTGTTCCTGATTCCCCTCCCTTCGCTGGTCCCGACCCGGTTCATGTTTTAACTCCCTGGATGGATCCCCTGGCCTTGGATTCTACCCTTTGTCTCGGATTACTCTTTTGGATTTCGCCTTGTTTGTTCGCCCCGGATTCACTCCCCCTGGACACCAGCACTGCATGGACACGCCCCCCTGTCTCCAGACCCTCTCCTGCATGACTTTTTCCCTAGTGTATCTTCACTATTCTGGATTGTGTCGTCCGCATAGGGCCGGAAGGAACTGCTACGTGACACCAGGTCTCAGTGGCAAATCCAATATAGGATTCTACAAGAGATCTAACTTTCATTCCTTTCCAGGATCCACTGAGCCATGGCTTGCTCCCCATAAGTCTTTGACCTTTGTTTCAGGCTGTGATTCTGCATTAAGTTACATCGAAAATTTATGATGTCACCAATTCCAAGAGAGTCTGATCAGTCTCCAGCACCCATCAATCTGTTGGAGCTCAGAAAAATGGCTTTAGCTGGAAAATGTCTTCCCAATTATACAAGTGATAATACATCTTCATGAGCATGACAATTGTGACATTCATCAATCACCAGGATGTTCTCAATCTCAGTCCAATGCATCTACTTCATTGCTTTGATTCCATTCTGTATCTTCGGAGTGCACCACGTGCGCCCCAAGGTGGATGCACCTTCTAGGCAATAGGCCTGCTATTGAAGGAAAGGCAGACACCAATATACCCAGCAGTCATATAATTGATATGAACATTGT